AGCAAACGCAGACGTGGTTGCTTTAGCAATTCAAGCACAATAAATTTACCAAATGCATCTCTAGGTTCAGTTAATTTTTGACACCCACCACACCCAAGTGAACCCACAGTTTGTATCCAGAGCATCCTTCCCCATTCCCTTCTCTTTATTCTGCCTGCCTGCAGAAATCACACTGCCTCCCTTACAAGACTTTGTCCTCACTGGCAGAGCTAACAGCTTGCCTCTAATTTGCAGTAAGCAAAGCTCAAGCAGCATCTTGCAGATCTCCAGACCTTGCTGATGCATACTGCCAGCAAAAGATGCTCACAGCCCCTTTCAGTACTTTATTTACCCACCCTTTGCTACATGAATATTCATTAACAATCCCAACCGAGAGTCCAGGGAGCGTTAACTACCATTTTACATTCACATCTGTCTTGCAAGATGGAACACTTACCTTCAAGAGTAATTCAGCATCTTCAGCACTCTTTATTCACAGCTCCTGTGAATAAGAGCTATGGAAAAGCCTTGCAGGACTAGGCCCTGCTTGGTAAGCACTGAAACAGCTTGCCAATGCTTCACCAAGGCATTGTAGAAGTAGGAAAATTCCTTAAGTTTCAAAAGGTATCAAGACAACTCTTCCTGTGAGTTGTAAATTCATTTAGAAATAAACTTACCACTGCACAATTAATGAACTAAACATATACTGCTATAAGTTGAAATTGAATCACAAAGGCACACTACAGTTTGTCCCCTGAGCATCAGTAATCCACAGCAATTTAGGATACCTGCCCCATAAACAGACTACAATATATATTTTTTCTTCTTGATTAATTAAAGAATGTGAAAGCACAGCACATAGTTTTGAAAGTTTGTGTACCCTGTCCTGCCAGAGTTCCTGTACCATTTTAGTCTCATGAGCTTGCAATTGCCTCACCACAATATTAATAACACAGGAATGCTAGATAGATATTAAATACGTTGAAGACTGGAAGATGATGCACACCTTTGAAGGGAAATGGCAAAGTGGCAGCACCTACAAAAGATCTGCTGAACTTATAGAAAATCATGCAGCTTAAATAGAAGTACATATGAATTCATTGTGAGCGAGACTGTACATATACAATCCAGATGGCAGGAAGCCATCTAAGATACTGCTATTTAATAGGCTGTCGGTAATTAAGGAGTAATCAGAGTGAAACATCACTTTTACACACGTGACCTGATGTGATATTCTGCTGAAAGAATCTGTTTCAGAACCACAGTAGCTGGAACCACTGGCACTTTACTATTTTATTACACTGACATGGCTGAAGAAAAACCAAATCCTTATATACTCTTCTGACTGTATCTGCTTTAGCTCTGAAATTACATTAATCTGGTTCTGTTTCTGATGGGCAGGAAGATATCCTCCTGAGACTGCCATTAGGCTGTGAACAGCAATGATGCTCAACAAATGCCATGTCAAGCGAGGAGCTGGTGCTGCAGCAGGAAATCACACAGTACTCAGTACTTCCCCTGCCACAGCATCACCTCCAGGAGAGCCAGCATAGAGGCACTGATTGTGCCCAGCTCTACCTGGTCACTTTACAAATACCACACTACATCTTACAGGTATGAATGATTGCTTTAAGCAGCTGCAGCAAACCCAGGGCAGGTTTTCCTTCCTTCCTTTGTTTTTGCCAGCAGCTCGCACTGATCTACTTTCCCCCCCTTCTGCTTCCTGCCCTGTAGGAATTGAACAAACTGCTTCTCCAACATGCCGCAGGTGAACTTGTCACACCTGTCTCCAACCTCTATCAAGAATTTCAGCATTAGGAACACAACATCGACAATAACCACGGGGGTACGAAGACTCCATCAAGTCCCACAATGGAATTCAGTTTTTGAATTACCCCTGCTGTGCTGCCCTGACATTGCAGACGACTCGGGCGGACAGGTCCCTCCCCTCTTACCCTTTATTTCCCCTAGCCCTCCCGTCGATCAGCGGGACGCCCGGGAAGCGTCTCCCCCCTCGCCTGTCGGACTCACCTCTCCTGGCCTGCCGGATCCTGGGGCTCAGCATGCTCCCGCCCAGCCACCGCCCCGCGCATCGCCCGCCGTTCTCCGCCGCTCCACTCCCAGCTCTGCCTCAGGGGCGACGCTTCACGTGGGGCTAAATAAACCGTTATGCATTATTTATCTGGCCTCGAATTAATTCCCATCCAAACTAAGCATTAAGTGCCTCGGTAATTACTGCCGATAAATCTCTAGCACGTAGACACGAAGGCTGGACCTGGCTCCTCCTGCTAATTGGCCGTGCATCAGTGTTATTAATATGCCTCTTTCAGAGAGCAGCGCTGATCCTGCATCCCCCCCTCTGCATCTTCACTCTGTCGCGCTCAACAGACACTTCGATTCGACAAGCATTGAGAGCTGAATGTCTCCCAGACTGAGCGAGGAGAAATAAGGGCACAAAGCACATGCTGAAGAGCTTGCGCATCTGGTAAGGTGGTGCCTCAGAAGAAATACAAATTGTGCTGGTCAATAGGGCAGAGGCGTGCTGGGTTGCTTCTGAGCTGCCTTCAGGCAGCACACGGGCTGCAGCCCTTCTGGGTAGGGATTCTGTTGAGAGCCAGGGAGCTGACAGAAACAACAGTTAATGCAGGGAAGAAAAATAGCTCTTCCCTGTACTGGTGGGATGGGTACAAGGCAAAGATATCTACTGATCCTTCATCAGTTTTTGTATTCCTTGCTAAGGTCTCCTTCACCTGAACTTGGGTAGAAGGCAAAGTTCACAGTTCAGAATGCAAAACAAACAAACAAAAAAAAAAAACAGTTGATGAAATAGTTAGATACTGCTAATTAGTATGCATAAGCTATAAATTGATAGTTGGATAATAATTGAATTCAACTGACACATCCTGCCCTAAAGCTGTTCATAGCCTAATCACTTCCTGACAATCCTTATCTCTTGTGTAGTATGCCTTTCTGCAGTATGGGTAAATATCTCCCTGGCAAGTGCATACCCTGCAAGTTTGCATTGCTGAGTTGCGTTGACAAAAAGCATCTGAGATTGGCAACTTGCTGTTTTGGAAAGAAGATTCATCACATCTTGGATCTTGAATACTGGCCATATTATATCTCTAATAGTGAAAGAGGTTCTCTGGCCATCCATATAGACCTTACTTCCCAGTTTGCAGGCTGCAGCAGTGGCTGAGATGCTTCGGACCCTTTCCTGCTTGTATCAAGTGTTGATCAAATGTAAATTTGTTTGAGTTAATGACTGTTATTTCAGATTTACACGCTGCTGAGATGGAATGTGAACAGGTATCTTTGTTTAGCATACATGTGTTCCTAAATTTACCTCCACATTAATTATCTCTATTAACCAGGCTTCAGCACAGTAGTGATCTCTTCGGTGCCATACCCAGAAAGTGGCCTGACGCAGCTGGGATAAACAGTAAGAGCATAAGCTGAAATAAGTTATACTTCTAGCTTCCTATACAGCCTCAGCTCATAGATTGAAAGCCATTCTCCTTCTTTCTCCATTTTTATTAGTTTTCCTTGCCTGATTAAACACATCATTTTGTAGCTTGATCAGAAAACCAAAACTGCGTACAATAACACATAACAAGAAATAGAAATAGTTGATCTTTTAACCATGTGAGAAACTTGTGAAACTTCATCTAAGTCACCAACTTAGTTTGATTTCCTCTCTAGGAAGAGCACACACACACACACACACACGCACACACATATATATAAGAATAACTGATTATCATGTTCATGGCCAAGTTCAACCATAAATGCTAGCTTTGAAATTATTTTTGTTCTTATATGAAAAAGTAATCACCATAAACAGAAGCATTCTATCTGTTCCTACTTGAAGTGTTTTCCTTTGACATAAACATTAACAGTATCTTTTAAAGTAACTTTCAAAACAAACATCATTTTTAAAGAGTTGATAAATCCATACTTTCCATAGATTATATTGGAAGTCTGTATTTTATTCTCCCAGCTGTAGTATTTCAGGCAACTAAACTGTCAGGTAAAACAAAAGCTATTAGAAATTGCCAGCTAGGAAAAAAAGCAAGCAGTTTTCAGTAGCAAATAGTTATATTGATAATCACAGTACCATTCTCCAACAATTTAAAGAAGCATTTCCTGAAAGAAACACTGAGAATAGGTCCAACAGAAAGGTAACGAACAAGCTCCGTAAATTATTAGACCTTACAGGAATATTTAGCTATTAAAGTCTACATCACAGAATGATCAGGGTTAGAAGGAACCTCAAGAATCATGAATCTCCAACCTCCTGCCACATGCAAGGCCACCGACCTCCATATTTAATACTAGACCAGGCTGCCCAGAACCCCATCTAATCTGGCCTTGAATACTTCTAGGGACAAGGCATCCAGAAGCAATCTGGACAGCCTGTTCCAGCACCTCACCCTTCTCTCTGTAAAGAATTTCCCCCTGACATGCAACTTAAGTCTCCCCTCCCTCAACTTAAAACCATTTCACCTTGTCCTACAGTTATCAGCCCTTTCAAACTGAAACTGAACTTACATTCAGTAAGATAGCTAGAGCAACAAATCTCAATATTTGCAGGTCTTAGTTTTCCTGTGCGCCTCAGAGTTCTTCCCATATTTAATTTCTTATACCATTTACCCCGTGTTATACCATCATCAGATAATCACATCCCAGAACCCCCCACTCTTGGAATAGGCTTAGGGATGTGCTCCCCGCTCTACATGCTAGTTTACCTGTAATCCAGATCCCATTTCCACCTACATCTTTCCACACTGCTACCAAATACTCCTTCCATATGCATCTATACAAGCACGTACACAGCTTCCTATATAGAAAGCCATCATTTAAAAGACAATATAACAGAAAAAAAAGTTAAGTAATTCAGCTTAGCACCTATAACAATCAGAAAGACCAACACCATAGAACAGTATCACAGGTGATGCAAAGACAAGAAAACTAATACAATAGAAATGTGTTCCAAAAAAAAAAAAAAGAAAAACACTCACCCATCTCTGAAGATGTAGGCTCACAAAGGAAACTCCACAAGGGAGGAATCTTCAACCAGAGATCCTTCCATAATGGCAACCAGCCCTCAAATGAGATCTAAGAGATGTGCAGCCAGGCTCCACCCTTTCTGGACTCACAGTTGAATTGCTTTCACCTGTGCTCCCAGGGCTGACCAGGTCTTTTCCCCCTGTGCTCAATCAGTGGTTCAGGCTGTGACTCAATAATTACCATACAACACTTCTATCTCAAGCTTTCTGACTTAGATTTTTTTTATTTTTTTTATTATTATTTTTTTTTTTTTCTAAAACTGTGTATGGGAATGGCCTGAACCTCTGATTGATCACCTGAGGTGAGCAGTGAGTCAGCCAGTGGTTGGCAATTCACCTGTGTTGCCAGACGGGGTGGAGCCTGGCTCCACCTCTCCTAGACCCATTTAAGAGCTGACTACCACTAGGAAAAGCTTTTTTCTAGAGATCATTTCTCTGGAGTTTTGCAGCGAGCTTAGGATGGGGGGAGTTGGTAAGCATTCTCTTCATTGTCTTTTTGTTGTAATCTGCTTTGCTAAGCTCTTTTTGTTTTGTTTTGTTTTTTTTTTTATTAATTATAGCATCTTTATATTCATTGATTATGCAAATAGAAAAGGTATTAACAATTTTAGACACTTGTGATTTATACTAATCGTAACCTGAAAAACACAGAGTAAGTTCATCTTGCAGTTATAAGGCTATGAAGTGTAGTAAGTGTATTACCTGTGGTCTCTACCCCCTAGGCCCAGGAGCTCTATTTAAGCTTAGGCTTGGAATTTTGTGTCATGATTAGGTTGTTGAAATACTGATTTGTAGTTCAGTTATGTTGTGATATTGAAGTCTTAGCTGTAGTCTATGGACTAATTTGCTAGTTTAATTGTATGTCTTCCTGGAGGTTAGATAACGTTTGGTTTTGGTAAGCTTAACTGTGGCTTAATTCTGACTATGATTTATGTGTGGGTGGTTTTCCTTTTCCTAGTCTACTCTTAGGTATGCCTTATCAGCGTAAACTTCTTTAATGATCTAGGCTCTAATTAAAATCTACAACTTTAAGATCTTATCTACTTATCTCAGGTAGTGTTAGGGGCTAGATCCTGTCCAATAATGACCCTATACTGCTTTATTTATTTATTTTTTTTCCCTTAGGGAACAAAAGGGCTGCTGCTGGTTCTTGTCATTCTTATTTTGTTCTCCAGCTGGGCTAAAGAGGAGCTAGTTTATTTTGCCTCTTAAAAAGATTAGGGATGCTGTAGGGTTGCAGGTATTAAGGCTTTTGTAATTAGATGAACTGAGGTAAGAGAGTCTTCCTGGTGTCTTCAGATAACAGTGTTAAGGTACCGATCTCTTGCTGGAAACTACTGATCTTAGGGTTATGTTTTTACATTGGTCAAAATCTATAATGGCTTTGTCACAAAGTAATAACTATCTAGAGAGACAGAAGAGAAAAATCAGCTGACTGAGGTCTAGAGAAAAACATTATCTACTTACTAATCGATGCTGAAAACAATTCATTAAGTATCTGTCACCTGCTTGGAATGAAGAAAAATTTTTGTGTATGTCACAGGTATTTACCACTGATTGCTTAACACATAACAAAGGCAGTTAACATGCCCTAAGGGTTAGGAAACTTGAGTGAAGTGTAGAGGAAAGGCCTCCAGCTGTAATACAGACTCATCTTCTGTGGTCACACACAAGACATTGAGCCCCTGGCCCTATCTACCTCCATGCAGTGTTCTGGAACTTAGGATTGGCAAGTACTATCTAAATGCAGAGGATGGTAATAAGTTATTGCAGTAGGGGTGCTCATAGAAGAAATGATTCATCTGCTGGCGCCAAGGCTGATGGCTGGAGGCTATGAAACATGTTGGGTTCTTGGGATGGAAGAGTGTGTGCGCCACTGAAGTTGCTGAATCTGTGTGGGGGAATTGAATGAATCTATATTTCCCCGGCTGCATGCGCAGCATGTTGTCACCCACCAATTACTGCAAGGCATATCCTTCTTTCCTCCTCCTCATCTTCTGCTACTATAGACAGGCCAAGGACTTGTTGTAACTAGCTGATTGATATATTTTTCTTACTCATCAGAAAGATGGGTCTGGATCAAAGCCCAAAATCTAATCATCCTGGACTTTGGCAACATTGAGATACAGATCTAGTTTGTTTAGATTGCAACTTTTTTTTGTTAGAATCTCTTACTGTATAAAACTGAGTTTCTGGAAAAGGGTCCAAAGAGCAAGAAAGACCATGGTGTACATTTTCGGATCAATAGCTGCTGTTGTACTGTCTTTACAAGGCAAGCCAGAATAAATGTATATATAGGAACTGGAGAAAATCTGTTACTGAAGAGTAGGCTGTGAATAGATATCAATTCAAGTATCTAATGACCAGAAGGGATTTCATTTTGATATGTATGACCCTTGCTTCTAGGCTAATTGGTCACAAGTTCAAAACATCTGAAGGTGCTTCTATCTGTTTTTCTAGGTGCAAATGATCACTGGTTGTAATGGAAATGCTGAGTTATGGCCTGAACCAGTGATTGAGCACCTGGTAGGAAGGCAGGGCCAACCTATGGGAGTGCAGGTGCAAGTAAAGTATCTGAGTGACCAGAAGGAGTGGAGCCAGGATCCACCCCTTTCTAGATCTCATTTATGGGTTGGTAGTGAAAGGCAAGGGTATCTTATCTGGAGATTCCTCCTATCTGAGGACCTTACAGCCCTTCCAAAGGTAAGCAATTTCTTTATCTTATTTCTGTGTCTACTGCTGTTATGTGAGTGGATCCTCACTCACCATGGCCTGGGACCTTACTGCGATGTGCTTTCCATCTTGTTTTACTAGTCTTTTAGCTCTTTGTGGTTAGAGCTTTCATTGGAGGTCTTAGGAGACAGTAACAAATACTTTGACTGTGAAGAGAATTCTTATTCTGCTTTAGAAAAGGTCTTTTGTACATGGTAATCTGATAATGCATAATGGGGAATACTGCTGTGTAGATGGTCCAGATCTACTCTGGAGAGAGCTGGAAACTCAAAGGTACTTCTGGGGAAAAAATTATTAGCTCAGGAAAAACTTGAGTTCGGGGATTATGTAGAGCCAAATAAATCAATGAAGCAATTATTTTACATTTAAGTTAAAATTCAGAGAACACATGAGTATAATGATATCTTGGGCTTCCTGGAGATAATGCTTCAGAGGCAGCAGTAAGTATGCTCAAAAATTCTAGACTGAGAGGGTGGAAGTAACAGCATGACTCTATAGAAGCATATTTAGTAATGAGGGATAAAGTGGAGATGATATAAACAAAATTTAACTTTGAACGTTTTCACAATAAAACTAGGTAATTTCTGGGTATCTTTATCAATCTTTTGCTGTCTGCTTCTTTCTACTCATGTTCCACAAATAGGTCAGGAACATCCATCTTCCATTTTAGGCTGTAAGAGTGCTTCTCTAGAGAGTGGCTACAATGTGAGGAAAGGCTATAATACAACTGTCAGAGATTTCAATGGGGCAAGAAGCTTACTAAGCAGACATAATCAAACAGCAGAAGATGGCTTTCATTTTTCACTCCTCTGTAGTGATGAACACATAAAAGGAACCTGTATGCCTGCAAGATTTCTACTACTGTAGCAACTCCCTGAAAACTATTTGACTTCATTTAAAAGTGTGTCCCTTGAGTAGAAAGACTCAAGTAGGTATTTTGCTGAAGTAACCTGCAAAAGCTTTTAAAGAACTGTATAATATTCTTCATAGCAGATAAAGAAAGCTTAACTTGGTATTTTTTATTTGTTTTTTGTTTACTGCTGACAAATATCAAAGATGCTAATAATATCATGGTCTGTGACGACGTTGAACATGTCCACTATTCTATTGAAAAGTAATATCTTTAATAGCAATTTCATGTTTCCAACAAACCATTATGCAATGCAATGGAAAAGGTGACAGATGAACACCTAGACAACTTTGAATGATCTGAAAAAAGATTTCCAACTTTTTGCAATACGTCTTACACTGGAAACAAGCAAGGCTTAGATTATCAATGTTAAAACTCTTTAAAACAGTAAATCTCTCAAATCGAAGACTTCTCTGAACATTATGAACTATGAGAAGAACCAAGTTCCCAGTTCTTCTTTCCTTTCGGAAAGGATCTGGTAGCAGCCTACAATCAGTTGGCTAAAGGATAGTTTCAAAGGTCACGTAACAAAAAGCTCTTTGGGAGTAGAGCTTAAAACAAAAAATGGTTCCTGCAAGTTTTGCTTTAAAAATTTGGGATGGAGATTGATGACAACTTTTTCACCAGATTGTGGGGCAGTACAGGAACAGATATCCAGAAAACAAGTGTTCAGAATCTTTTGGGAAGTCTGGACTAGTCTAGTTCTTATGGTAGACCTTGCAGACAGAGAAGTGGCCTAAGTGACCTCCAGAGCAACCTTCTGTCCACAATTTCTGTGTCTGTCTGGAAACCTGCTTTTGGTTGCTCTATCTGTTGCTCTAACAAAATGGCACATTTTTTTTCAACCCTTGCTTTTCTGGCTTTTCTGATGCCCTTGATTTAACAGACCTGCTACTGCTGCAAAACCTTTCAAAACAGGGAAATAGCAGATGAAGTTCTTTCCCTTTATGATTGCCTCTTTCAAATATATTATTACTTTCTTAATGATCATTATGAAAAGAATTATGAATTTCCCTGAACCAAAGTGTTGTTGCTTTGATTACAATGCACCAAATGCATTGTAATCAGGAAATTAATTGCTTAGCATGAAGTATGGGATTAGTTTAACTGAAATCATAAGTCTGTTAATGTGCCCTGCATCAAAATACAATGCTTATGTGACCTGCTAGGTCACAAATTACTGGAATACAATGTGTTGTTTGAATTTTTGTATTCTATGAGCAAAGCACAGTGCCTCAAACTTAAGAGTGGAAAAAAAGGTGAGTTTAAATCTGGGCTAGATCTGTCTACACTGAGTCTCTTGATTCTAATTGTATTGTCTACACAGCTATGCATCTAGTTGTATCTTG